AAATGAAACCTATCTAAAAATGGGATAAAATTTGAATTCGAACTTTATAATCCTCCAATCCNAATAAGATAATACTAATGAATTGGACTTTTTTGTATTCCATTCCAAACATGGTATAAGATTAAATAACGTTTTTGTACACAAAGGTTCAATGATCATTTTAGTATACTTTATCTTCAAATGTGAATGAGGTCCACAAACCAAATGAAACCTATCTAAAAATGGGATAAAATTTGAATTCGAACTTTATAATCCTCCAATCCGAACCATTTTGTATTGGGTTCAGATTCAAATTCAATTCAATCCAACAATTCTACGGTGATCCAACACCACCTATTAGGTTGATCTTAANGGACCATTTTGTATTTGGTTGGATTGGGTTCAGATTCAAATCCAATTCAATCCAACAATTCTACGGTGATCCAACACCACCTATTAGGTTGATCTTAANAATCTCAACTTCTCATCCTATATGTTTCCCAACTCTTTCTTTCTTAATCATTCACCTCCTCTATGCCCTGATTTTCTTCAAGTTTCTAGACCTCTCTCTTCCTCCACTGTTTTTTTTATACTTTGTACCCTAAAATTTTTTAAAAAAATTATTTTATACCTTCAAATGTTAGATTTCTTACATTATACCTCAATGTATTAAGAGTATTATACATCTATATACTTTATAAAAAAAATATAAATATATTTCATTAAAAAAAAAAGAGCTATTGGGATGACATTATAATTTGTTAAAAATATTTGATTACAAAAAAGAGTTTGTTCATTGAAGAGGTCTATACCAAATTAAATTTTTTATTTTTTTTTACTCAAATTTATGTTAGGATTTGGGTGAGGACTATCGATTATCTAATATAACCTCCTCAAAATATTTTGTTTGGTCGGTCCCAGATGTTCTCAATCAATCCAAGCATAAAGAAACCATATATAAAAGTATTTGGGATCGATCCAAACATTAAAAAAAAAAATTGATTTTGCCCTGGTAAAATTCTCAATTTATCTCTTGAATAATTAATTTTTTCACATTATCCCGTAAAAGAATAAAAAATATTACAATATGGTTCACCGTCTTATTTTTATTTTGATGTCCATCTATTTTGTGATTCTTGATTAGTTGATTTGGTACAGAATCGATGGAACCAAAGGGAAAAAAGATAGTGGACCATATTACAATTTTTTTGTTCTTTAAAGGGCAATATGAAAAAATTAATAATTCAGGGCAAACTAAGAATTTTTGTATAAGGGGAAATGGGATTTACCCACAAAGAAAAAACCTATGGTGGTGTTTGGATCAAAGGATTTGGGAGATTATAGGTGAGATTGGATTAAAATAGTGAATGAATCCACTTATCCTTGGTTTAGTTGAACAAATTGAAATGGGATTTTAGGTGGGATTCAATTCCTCGGCGTAGTGTTCCCGTGAGAGATAATCCATCTCATACAGGATTATCTTAACTCATGTAAATGGAGGGATTCAAAATCTAGTGAAGGGGATAAATGGTAAAATTACATAAACACCTGTTCGTCATCTCCTCTCAATCATTATAGCCATCTTCTTCTTCAGGATCCACTCCAGGGTTTCTGGTATTCATGGGGCAGTAGCTTAATATCGCAAGGAAGCTCTACTCTTCAGGAATCGGGCTCTCTCTCTGTCTCACTCTTCTCTCTAGCAAATCTGAAGCCGAAGCATCTGGATCTCTATCCACGGTAAGTAGGGAAGATGAGCAGTTTAACCAAATTAAAAACCATTTTATACCCTACTGGTTCAGTTTTTTTGCACCTAAACTCCATTATTTTGAAAGTAACACGAAACTCTCTTATACTTTTGAACTTAATTGATACCGTTAGAAATTTTCTCTCAATTGACAAAATGTAGTATGCAAGCACATGAGAGTGAGTGTGCGAAAATATTCGGTTTAAGTTAACTTTAAATGAAATAGTTTGTATCTCTTTAAAAAATCACAATTCTTATGTGATGTTGGGTGTCATTAAATCATAAATTTTTAAATTCTTAAAAATTTTATGATCATCCATTTGTTTCCTTATATATGAACTCTTAATCAAATTAACATTTTAAGTATAACAACATATTTTAAATTGACCTAATTTGTGCTATTAATTAAGGCAATAATATTAAAATGCCCTAAAATTCATGAAAAATAAATTTCAGTTGGGTCATTGAAAAAATTTAATATGGTTCGTATTAATTTTGCTATTTATTAAAAAAATACAATTAAATTTTATTTTTAAACACACAACTTCGGATTTTCTAGAAAGAAACAAATAACAATTTAGGCATGAGTTGTATCAATTTGTGTATTAATTTTGTGTTGGAAATTTTTTTTTTTTTTGCATGATACATATGATTTTTTTGATTAAAAGTGTATTGTACAAATTAAATTAAATAAATGAACAAAATATTTATTACAATTTTTTGTAGAAATGCGTAATTTATTGATTCATATTTTTTTTGCCTAAATAAGATAATACTAATGAATTGGACTTTTTTGTATTCCATTCCAAACATGGTATAAGATTAAATAACGTTTTTGTACACAAAGGTTCAATGATCATTTTAGTATACTTTATCTTCAAATGTGAATGAGGTCCACAAACCAAATGAAACCTATCTAAAAATGGGATAAAATTTGAATTCGAACTTTATAATCCTCCAATCCGAACCATTTTGTATTGGGTTCAGATTCAAATTCAATTCAATCCAACAATTCTACGGTGATCCAACACCACCTATTAGGTTGATCTTAAGTTTCTACTAGGGATAAAACATTGGATCCACGACTTCGTGAATTTTCTGGTTTTATAAATGAAATCCAAATGGGGAAAGAATTGGTGTCCCTTTTTCCAGATCAGAAACTAACCAATGGACCTAGATTTGATAATATTTGTCGGGATCGAGAACCAATTGGACTTAGATTCGAGAATACCTTTCCAGATCACAATTTGGGTGGAACTTCATTTCTTCCATATGTTCCACCGTTGAACAATACCGTTCCGAGTTCTCGTGTAGACCGTAATTTCTCAGATGCGGTTTCCAAATATACAAGCCAGATGCTTANGTGGAACTTCATTTCTTCCATATGTTCCACCGTTGAACAATACCGTTCCGAGTGTTCGTGTAGACCGTAATTTCTCAGATGCGGTTTCCAAATATACAAGCCAGATGCTTATGGAAGATGAGAAATGTATGCTTCAAGATTAGGATCGATCACGAACATTTGGGGATCAATCCCAAATGTTTTGGATCAATCAAACAGGATATTTTGAACGCTTACACCTTTTAGGGTCATTTTAATGTATTTTGGGTTCCCTTACCACTTTTTTTTTTTGAGTAAAATTATAACATTTTGGGATGTTCTAGCCACTTTTTAGTGGTAAAGATCTCACGTTTTGGGTGAAATTATCAATATTTTTTTACTTTTCGGTACCAAAAAGTAGAATGTCGGCATCACAGTGCTGCCCAGTGGCGGATCCAGCCCTTGCTTAAATTTTAAAAAATTTTGGAGTGTAAATATAATTTTAAAAATTTTAAAATTTATTATAGATTTGCCCCGNCCGTGAGAGATAATCCATCTCATACAGGATTATCTTAACTCATGTAAATGGAGGGATTCAAAATCTAGTGAAGGGGATAAATGGTAAAATTACATAAACACCTGTTCGTCATCTCCTCTCAATCATTATAGCCATCTTCTTCTTCAGGATCCACTCCAGGGTTTCTGGTATTCATGGGGCAGTAGCTTAATATCGCAAGGAAGCTCTACTCTTCAGGAATCGGGCTCTCTCTCTGTCTCACTCTTCTCTCTAGCAAATCTGAAGCCGAAGCATCTGGATCTCTATCCACGGTAAGCAGGGAAGATGAGCAGTTTAACCAAATTAAAAACCATTTTATACCCTATTGGTTCGGTTTTTTTGCACCTAAACTCCATTATTTTGAAAGTAACACGAAACTCTCTTATACTTTTGAACTTAATTGATACCGTTAGAAATTTTCTCTCAATTGACAAAATGTAGTATGCAAGCACATGAGAGTGAGTGTGCGAAAATATTCGGTTTAAGTTAACTTTAAATGAAATAGTTTGTATCTCTTTAAAAAATCACAATTCTTATGTGATGTTGGGTGTCATTAAATCATAAATTTTTAAATTCTTAAAAATTTTATGATCATCCATTTGTTTCCTTATATATGAACTCTTAATCAAATTAACATTTTAAGTATAACAACATATTTTAAATTGACCTAATTTGTGCTATTAATTAAGGCAATAATATTAAAATGCCCTAAAATTCATGAAAAATAAATTTCATTTGGGTCATTGAAAAAATTTAATATGGTTCGTATTAATTTTGCTATTTATTAAAAAAATACAATTAAATTTTATTTTTAAACACACAACTTCGGATTTTCTAGAAAGAAACAAATAACAATTTAGGCATGAGTTGTATCAATTTGTGTATTAATTTTGTGTTGGAAATTTTTTTTTTTTTTGCATGATACATATGATTTTTTTGATTAAAAGTGTATTGTACAAATTAAATTAAATAAATGAACAAAATATTTATTACAATTTTTTGTAGAAATGCGTAATTTATTGATTCATATTTTTTTTGCCTAAATAAGATAATACTAATGAATTGGACTTTTTTGTATTCCATTCCAAACATGGTATAAGATTAAATAACGTTTTTGTACACAAAGGTTCAATGATCATTTTAGTATACTTTATCTTCAAATGTGAATGAGGTCCACAAACCAAATGAAACCTATCTAAAAATGGGATAAAATTTGAATTCGAACTTTATAATCCTCCAATCCGAACCATTTTGTATTGGGTTCAGATTCAAATTCAATTCAATCCAACAATTCTACGGTGATCCAACACCACCTATTAGGTTGATCTTAAGTTTCTACTAGGGATAAAACATTGGATCCACGACTTCGTGAATTTTCTGGTTTTATAAATGAAATCCAAATGGGGAAAGAATTGGTGTCCCTTTTTCCAGATCAGAAACTAACCAATGGACCTAGATTTGATAATATTTGTCGGGATCGAGAACCAATTGGACTTAGATTCGAGAATACCTTTCCAGATCACAATTTGGGTGGAACTTCATTTCTTCCATATGTTCCACCGTTGAACAATACCGTTCCGAGTTCTCGTGTAGACCGTAATTTCTCAGATGCGGTTTCCAAATATACAAGCCAGATGCTTATGGAAGATGAGAAATGTATGCTTCAAGATTAGGATCGATCACGAACATTTGGGGATCAATCCCAAATGTTTTGGATCAATCAAACAGGATATTTTGAACGCTTACACCTTTTAGGGTCATTTTAATGTATTTTGGGTTCCCTTACCACTTTTTTTTTTTGAGTAAAATTATAACATTTTGGGATGTTCTAGCCACTTTTTAGTGGTAAAGATCTCACGTTTTGGGTGAAATTATCAATATTTTTTTACTTTTCGGTACCAAAAAGTAGAATGTCGGCATCACAGTGCTGCCCAGTGGCGGATCCAGCCCTTGCTTAAATTTTAAAAAATTTTGGAGTGTAAATATAATTTTAAAAATTTTAAAATTTATTATAGATTTGCCCCGCACTAAATTTTTTTTAGGGTTATTTGCTCACTAAATATTTTTAGGGTTATTTGCTCTTGTGATCTCCAAACTATTCACATTGTCTTATTTTGATTCTCAATATTTTAATTAAATCAAATTAGTTCCCAAAATATTCGCTTTGATTTATTTTAATTCCAACCAGAGACACCGTTTGTTTTTTTGTCGTCTCCGTCTCCATCTCCATCTCCATCTGCCATTCACGTGAGGGCAAAAGTGGGATTGCCCGTACTTAGTCTGGGAGGGAAACATTCCCGCCAACTCCTCCATGACCACATATCCACGCCCAGCCTGTCCAACAGACAAAGGAAGCAAACAGAACACCTCAAACCAAAAAGAAGAAGAGAAGGGAGGAAAAAAGAGGAAGAGAAGGGAAAAAAAAGGAAAACGTGAGGGATGAAATTCATCTACTGGAGGAGTTGGCGAAAATGGAGACAACACCATGCTACTGCAGGGAAGTAACTCTTTTGATTATTCTGACTTTGGGTGGGGAGACTATTGCTCCAAGGCTCCAGAAATATCATCCGTTCTCACAGCCACAGTAGAAGTTGATGAAGCTCAACTGGTGGAGGATGCTAATCCTACAAAGAAATTGGAGTCCAACTCTGTGGACTTGGTGTCTGGTAAAGAAAGCACTGTGAATAGTCTGTCTGAAGAGCTCTCTGCATTTGAGTCCCAGATGAAGTTCTTCGAGATCCCTGATCTTGAAGGGAACTGGGATGCTTCACTGGACACTTTCCTCAATGACAGCACAACACAGGATGGTGGGAATCCGGTGGATCTTTGGATGTTTGGTGACTTTCCTCCCGTGTTGGGGGGATTTTTCTGAGCATCCTTTAGTCCACTTGCTTGCTGTAAATAAAGCTGCATGTCAGTAATTTTTTGCCCTGTAGTAGCTTCTTCCATGAAATATTTGTTTGTCTGCATTTGTTCCGATTTTGATTGGTGCTATATCTTCTATGAAAAAGGATGATGTTTATTTTTCTCTATGGTTCTTTCAGGGTGTTTGTTATTGGTGATTGAGATGGTAGACAAACAGTTAAAGCATGCTAAGCCTGGATGATGATCTCAATTGGACTACTTGTATGAGGAGTACATAGGTAATTAGGTTTATTTGACCTCGAGACCTTGAATTTAAATTTTCTGTTTGCTTCCTTTGGTTGCTGGACAGGCTATAACGTGGGCATGGAGGAATTGGCGGGAATGTTTTCCTCCCAGATTAGGTATGTGCAATGTCCACTTTGCCCCTCACGTGAATGGCACATGGAGACGGCAAAAAACAGACGGTGTCTGCGGTTGGGACTAAAATAAATTAAAGTGAATACTTTGAGGACTAATTTAATTCAATTGAAATATTGAGAATTAAAATGAGATAACGTGAATAGTTTGAGAACCACCAAAGCAAAATGAGACAAGGTTTAAGGGTAGTTATGTTATTTTGACAAATATATGGGTCTTATTTATGTTATTTTGACAAATTTTTTACTATGTCTTATAGATAAATTTATATTGAGTTTTTTTTTTTTTTGGCTCTTTTTATGTACGTGTATATAAGTTACGCCTTTAATTGGTGTTCACCGTCAGTTCATAATGTTGCAAAGCTATGCAAGATTGTCGACTGCTTCCATGTTTTAGGATCTGGAGTTAACAATTCTGCTGCAGTATGTTGCATTGACAAGGTTAGTTTCTCATCCTATGTTTCTTTTGGAAGTTTCATTTATCTTTTATCATACGTTGCTGATTAATTATTTTCCAAATATTTAAAGCCATTCTCAAAAAATCTTCTATATCCGATAACTCTTGAGATTTTCGGTTGACCAATGTGTGTGATTTATGGTCTTCTCTGCAATTTTCATCTCCAGTATGATATTCAGTTCAGTGTTCACTTGTTAGTATGCATACAAACCTTTAAAGTGAAAACTTAATGCACGATGTTCCCGTCACTTTGACTAAAGGATAGTGCATCATCGAGCTTGTTGAATGGGGAAAAAAATGCTAGAGATGAGGGCACACTGATTAGCAGGTATGTTCTCATTTTTCGAACCCAGAAGTGGATTGAGATTCTTACTCATCCAACTATAGAAGTGTTCAGTAAATTTAGTTCAAGTAGCACTACTGTTTTGGACCACGGTAGTTAAGCGCTTTCCGGGTTTGTGCTCTCAAACATTGATAAAACCTGCAGGAACTGAAAAACAGACAAGACAAAAAAAGGGTACAGCAACTAAATAACCAAGTGTAACATAAGAAATGAATACNAACCATTTTTGTGCATCATCAAATACAACATCTAATCATAGAGTACAAGTGAGGATGAGAAATCCTCTAAATGCTACAAGATAAAAACTAAAGTTCAGTAAAACAAAAGAGCCAAGAAATATAAAACGAACAATAAGTACAAAGAAACGTAAGGTTCTAATAATCAAATTTTACATCATCCANTGATGATGCACAAAAATGATTTTGCACACCACCTGTCAAGTATAGATTATAAATGCAATGAAATCAATGAGAAAANCAACATCTAATCATAGAGAGGATGAGAAATCCTCTAAATGCTACAAGATAAAAACTAAAGTTCAGTAAAACAAAAGAGCCAAGAAATATAAAACGAACAATAAGTACAAAGAAACGTAAGGTTCTAATAATCAAATTTTACATCATCCAATCATTCGACTTTATACTTCGATTTTGGCCAATTGGGTCTGCTGAAAAATGGCTTCTCTAGAGAAGATATGCACTTCACAATCCAACTTATTGGCAAAGAAATAGCAGCAATTGCAATACTTGTGCCCCATTGCCCCCAATCCAGCCTTGCAGTGTCTGCAAACCTCTTTAGAACTTCCACCATCAGCACTTGAAGAGTAAGGATTATTCCAATGATCCCCCAAAACAGTTTTCTCTTTCTTATATCCTGAAATATATTCTTCTCAAAATTGAATATGGTGAAGACCTGGCAGAGAACATAAGTATTAAGGATCAATGTGCCTTTTGCATTTGGATCGACATTGAAGATTGATTTTCCCTTGAAATGTATGGTTAGCAGAATGGTTGTCTGATATAAAGCTTGAACCTTAATGTTCCTCAGCATGATGTTGGTCATTAGAGGTTCATTCCTTCCCTGAGGTGGCCTCTGCATAAGCTCTTCGGTAGGCTGCTTCATAATCAGAGCCAGAGCAGCCAATGTGCCCATTACCAGCTTCGCCCACAGAAGTTGAAGAACTGGATATGGGACTTTACCAGCTGATACTAGTGCCACGGCATCGATATTCGGGGGTTCACCGATTGAAATTGCCATCACAAAGTCGGTCACCAGAGCAACAAAACTAGCAGTGAGCAGGAACTGAGTGTATATCTGAACACTCTCAAAAATGCCTCTCCCCCACCTTAAAATACTGATTACAGAAGCCAGATTTTTGTCCTGGATGACAATATCCGAGCAGGCCTTGGCTACATCAGCACCTTGAGTACCAAGGCACAGTCCTACGTTGGCTTCCCTCAACGCTTGCACATCTCCGATGCCACACCCAATTACTGCAACAACGTGGCCTTTCTGTTTCAAGCATTGCACCATAAGAAATTTATCAAGGGGGGTGGCTCTCGCCATCACACGAATATTCTGAACTCTCTCCATTCTCTCCTCCTGAGTATAGTTCCGAAATTCCACACCTTCTACAACTTCTCCAAACTGATCATTGGCATCTATTATACCACATTTAGTGGCTATAGCTCTGGCTGTTAAAATGTTGTTTCCTGTGATCATCCTAAAGTTCACTCCAGCACGTTGGCAATCTTCCACAACCTCTGTAACTCCATATCTACGCGAATTTTTTAGACCAACAAGGCCTAATAGGATCAGCTGTTGACGGGAAAAGGTAAAATAATCTCGTATTGATGTTTTTCTATGCGCAAAAGCAATGCACCGGAGGCCATTCTCTGCCATGCCTTCAAGTATCTGATCCAGCAACACCCTTGCACTTTTGTTAATGACTTTGACAGTTCCAGTGGTTTCATAATAGTGAGAGCACAAGGGTATTATCACCTCAGGAGCTCCTTTCCGGTGCACATGAATCGTGTTGTCGCCATTCTTGCTGATCAAAACCCCGCTCTGTCTGTTCTCTGAGCTAAAGGGTTCAATTTCAAGAATGGTACAGCTTCTTTTCAGTGATTCTATGTCCATTCCCATTTGCCGAATGGCCCAATCAAAGATTGCTTTTTCAGTGGGATTCTGGGGAGATTTGAACAGAGACCTTGAAGGGGGCTGAGTTGTATTTAAACCAATTCCTTGATGAAGCAATTCAAGAACAGTTGGTGCAATCAAATTGGAAGGAACTTCTTCTATGGAGCTTAAACCTAGCCAAAACTTATTTACCTGTTTCAAAATAATACAGGTACAGTGTATTAATACAAATAGTACTCCACCCACACTCAGATGCATAAAATCCATTCAAACACAATAATATTCAAAAACATAAAAAACACATAAATATAACACATTTCATACAAAATCGTAGATCACTGACAATGGTTAGATAATTTTTAACATAAGGCACACTCTTTACAAAAGATTTCCAGTACCAAAACTGCCCAAAAACATCCCATGATATGATGAATTACTAGGTTTCTTGACGTGTATTAAACTTGACACCGATGGTTTTAAAGACTTCTGTTGTCTCATCAAAACTCACTAAAATTTTTGAAACTTACGATTGCATACTTAAAATTTGTAAAAATCTTCCTATATAAATGTCAGATTTTATTCGTGAGTGTAATGATATAAGCCTGCCGGACTGTGCAATAGTGTTGTGCTGAAATACTGGTGAGACGAACATAGAGTAGAACAAATGGATGCAATGTGCAAACTTAAACGCGTCTTACCCAGGGGATGCAAAGCCAATAAATGGACAATTACCCACCCAATATTTGAACTGATACAAGAGTTAGGTCTATTCAATGTTAAGAAATAATGTCTTTAATTTGGAGTTAGTACATACAATTTGGAGAATCCTTTAACACATTTTGAATTACAGAGCACGAAAACTAATCATATACCTCCTTGTAATCGGTTGTTAGGCTGCCAGTCATGTTGGTGCATATGGTGGTCACAGATCCAATTGCATCACACAGTGAAGGTTTCCTCAATACAACATTGTCATTCAACATTTTCTTCATTGAATAAGCAAGAGCCATTTTTACAGCCAACAACAGACCTTCTGGAGCTGAGGTTGCTGCAATCATGGCTGGAGTAGCTACAATTCCCACTAAAGCTACCAATACATCAACAATCATTCCCTCCCCACCAATAATTACTTTCTTTCCTTTGTCATTGAAAATTTTCCCGGAAAACAGGCGAGAAAACATAACCAAGAGAATCAGCAAAGCCACTGCGTGACCAAACTTACCCATTACTGAGGTTAGTTTTTCGAACTGATTTAAGAGTTCCCCATGAAGATGAATTTTTTGGCTCATTTTGTTTTTTCCAACTGCTGTAACAAGCATTCGAGAGTACCCATCAACCACTTTAGTGCCCGACCGCAAGAATGGATTGTCATGGCCATCCACTTCCACACGTTCAGTTTGCCCGTCCTTTCTTAGTTTGTCCACCTGTAATTACACCAGCCAATTTTAGATTAGGAAAATGTTATTTCTACTTAATAAAATCATCTTTGTTGATATGATCGATCATATCTGTTGAATTGATAGTAAAATCCACTGTCAATTTAGTGGTGAAGAATGATATGATCAATAAATAAGGTTAATGTAGCATTACTTTTTAGACCAAGAGCTAGCAAGGGCTCGTGGCCCAGACAAGGAGCCTGATGGCCAGGAAGCCTGGATGGCTAGGTGTGTGGGCTGGGGAGGGTAACACCTTTTCTCGGCAGGGTNTTTCCTCTTGGTTACGTGCTAAGCAAGAAGTCTAGCCGGCCTTGGTCTGTCTTGGACTTGGTGGGTTCANGCCATTGGCCCAGACAGGGAGCCTGATGGCCAGGAAGCCTGGATGGCTAGGTGTGTGGGCTGGGGAGGGTAACNGGCTCGTGGCCCAGACAAGGAGCCTGATGGCCAGGAAGCCTGGATGGCTAGGTGTGTGGGCTGGGGAGGGTAACACCTTTTCTCGGCAGGGTAAGGCCTGGGCTAAACTTTTTAAGGTCGGGTAGAGTCAGCAAGGGCTCGTGGCCCGAACAGGGAGTCTGATGGCGGGGAAGCCCGGAACACTATGTGCGGGGGCTAGGAGTAGCACCTTATCTCGGCAGGATAAGGCCTGAACAAGAGTTTTTTAAGGTCGGGTAGCTGATGGATTGGTCCAATAGTCCTGATTCAATTTTGTTTTCTTTTTTTCTTTTAAAATCCCACATTNCCACCCACACTCAGATGCATAAAATCCATTCAAACACAATAATATTCAAAAACATAAAAAACACATAAATATAACACATTTCATACAAAATCGTAGATCACTGACAATGGTTAGATAATTTTTAACATAAGGCACACTCTTTACAAAAGATTTCCAGTACCAAAACTGCCCAAAAACATCCCATGATATGATGAATTACTAGGTTTCTTGACGTGTATTAAACTNTAACACCTTTTCTCGGCAGGGTAAGGCCTGGGCTAAACTTTTTAAGGTCGGGTAGAGTCAGCAAGGGCTCGTGGCCCGAACAGGGAGTCTGATGGCGGGGAAGCCCGGAACACTATGTGCGGGGGCTAGGAGTAGCACCTTATCTCGGCAGGATAAGGCCTGAACAAGAGTTTTTTAAGGTCGGGTAGCTGATGGATTGGTCCAATAGTCCTGATTCAATTTTGTTTTCTTTTTTTCTTTTAAAATCCCACATTTATTTAACTTTATTTTCTTTTTCTTTTTCTTTTATGCATAAAAAGGCACACTAGTTCGGGCTTGCTGGTTGGCCCGTTGGTATTTTTAGTGGATTGGATTGAGCCCGGCTCGTTGACTAGTTAAAGCCCGAATAGTTTGGCCGACAACAGGCTTGGCTCTGAGAAATTTGGGCTCACTTGACCCATTCTCAACTCTTACTTTAGATATGACCCACGAATTTANTTGACACCGATGGTTTTAAAGACTTCTGTTGTCTCATCAAAACTCACTAAAATTTTTGAAACTTACGATTGCATACTTAAAATTTGTAAAAATCTTCCTATATAAATGTCAGATTTTATTCGTGAGTGTAATGATATAAGCCTGCCGGACTGTGCAATAGTGTTGTGCTGAAATACTGGTGAGACGAACATAGAGTAGAACAAATGGATGCAATGTGCAAACTTAAACGCGTCTTACCCAGGGGATGCAAAGCCAATAAATGGACAATTACCCACCCAATATTTGAACTGATACAAGAGTTAGGTCTATTCAATGTTAAGAAATAATGTCTTTAATTTGGAGTTAGTACATACAATTTGGAGAATCCTTTAACACATTTTGAATTACAGAGCACGAAAACTAANCTACCCACACTCAGATGCATAAAATCCATTAAAACACAATAATATTAAAAAACATAAAAAACACACATAAATATAACACATTTCATACAAAATCGTAGATCACTAACAATGGTTAGATAATTTTGAACATGAGGCACACTCTTTACAAAAGATTTCCAGTACCAAAACTGCCCAAAAACATCCCATGATATGATGAATTACTAGGTTTCTTGACGTGTATTAAACTTGACACCGATGGTTTTAAAGACTTCTGTTGTCTCATCAAAACTCACTAAAATTTTTGAAACTTACGATTGCATACTTAAAATTTGTAAAAATCTTCCTATATAAATGTCAGA